AACTATAAACTGAATTTTAGGAACATTTTTACTAGTTGAGTTCGAATACAAAATCTGCATAAAGACCCATTACTTCCAGCCTGTTTACATCTAAATGATATATTTTGCCACCAAATTCCAACTGATGTCACAAAGTTCAGGTACTCTAAAATATAAACCAGAAAACCTTGATTTGAAAGTTTTCCTTGATCAGCAAAATCATTAGCAATCAAGAAATTTGTTAAGAAACTACCATCAACAAGCTCAAGGAATCAGATACCTCAAAGTGTCCTTCATCTTTCTCAATGGGCTCATCTGCACTTTCTTTGTCATCAGAATCCAGATCCTTCTCAACTTCATCTCCTGTAAACTGCAATATTATGCATTACATATATGTAACCCAAAATCAGTCAGTATCACGCATTTTGTACAATCAATGAGTTCAAAAATTAATGCCAAGGCAGCAATCAAGAAGCCCTAACATTCAAGTCGATTGTGGTATAAATCATTAGTTTATGTTAAAACCACATATCAAACTTCAAAACCGCACCAAGCCTCCAGAGATTTTTGTAGTTACCTTAGGAGTCTTAATTTTTGTAATTTCTAATAAAGAATGATCATTTATTGAGAATTTCATCATTCGCAAAATGGCAAAAACCGATTCATACCCGTTCAATATCATCCTGATCCTTTCTAGTGAAGCCACTTGCAGAAAGTTCCTTGTCTAAGAAACCAGTAACTTTCTTAATATCAGCAAAGCTAGGCCTGCCAATTTCCTCTGAGTCTACCTTGGAATCATCCGAATGACCAGCATTTTCCTCGAAAGACAGGTTGAACCTGCAGCAGTTTACCAGAAAAGGAAGTAAGACAAACGCATTAACAATTATGCCAGGTACGAAAAGATAAAAGATAAGCTAAATAATGATATTAATGCAACACAGAAAAACCTCTGACATAATGAGCCCTAAGAAAACTTTGACAAGCCATCACTAAACCATTTTATTTTTGTTTCCTGGATAACAGATTTCTAAAGTTTAGCTGCTAAAGTCATTTTTTTCCAACAGATTCCTCCAACTCCAGCATCAAATGAATTAACATGACCATATCAAAAAACATAATCCCCTAATGCTACAACGTTGTTGGATATCATTGTATAGCCTAATTTCTATTTGCAGTTGCAACCCCATAATTATCTTGTGAGCAATCAATTAGCAATGGCTATATCAGCACATCAACTAAGTCACCTGGTCAATATGCCTGAAGTACAGTGTCCAATTGTACATACTGCCAGTTTACTAAAACAACTTTCCAGTCAGATTTCTAGCCATCAAACTGTCAATGCTAGCAGAAAAAATTCACTAACCTCTTACTGAAAAACTTGAAGATACATTCTACATCACGATCAAAGTACCTGAAAGTTGGAACTCTTATAAGAAACAATGATGACAATTGACAGTATTTAGAGAATGAAATGACGCAACAAGCAAGGGGGACAAAATAAAAAGACAAGCTAGAGTGTACATCAGTAGCAATAAACATACATCTGAGCATTGTGATGAGAGACTGACACCATTTGTGGGAAATCAATCATTGTCACCTTTTCATCATCATCAATCTAACACAAGCAAAACAGCAAGGTTAAAGGCAAGGCACAACACATGTGGAGCTAGAAATAGAAGTGCTATGTTCAGTCACAGCATTGGAATTACCTAATTATCTTGACAAGTAAAAGTAACCTTTTCTTTTTTGGGTAAGCAAGTTGCCAGAAATATTAGTGGTTAAGTAAAGACAGTCGAGACAGATAGGCACCTTAACAGCCCATCAGAAAAAGAAAATTCAAAAAAAACAGGAGACTTCTTTTACTTTTTCCCTTTTTCTAATAAGTACAAATGACAAATATTGCACACGTAATATAATACTTATCAGCATACCATGATGTTGAATTCGTTAAAATCGCAGTGAATAAGCCCATGCTCAGCAAGACGAACAACAAGGCCAACAATCGTTTCAAAAACCGTATCTGGGTTCTGCAGTTCCTTAACCTGTACACTACATTACAGCAGGAAATAACGTTTAACTGTGCCAGAAAAGCATCTTGCATGAAATCTAAAGGTACACAAATAAGGGATACTTAAGAGAAAAGATGCTATTGCAGCAGATACCGACTAATTCTTAAGTTTCAGCAGAACATTCAATACAAATTCCATCCTGATGAGTAACGCCTAACAGAAATTATTCCTGACACGTGCCAGCCCAGACTAGTTGAGCAACAGAAGTTTGGTCCATAAGGGGAGAAGCTTTCCATGTATTCTAGTTGATATTTGAAAGTTTTGCCCAAAAGTTAAAACAATATGAAGCTAAATTCAGCCTAGACTGACAAACAAACTTGGGTTAGCCATAAACACTGCAATCCTACAAGCATAAGCTTATATTGGAGCTACTAGTCTTAACATGAAAGTAGAAAGTTCATCTTTTTAAACTATTTGCGGTTATTGGTAAGCACTTACAGTGGGTATCCTTGGATGAGTGACATAACAACACAGTGTCTGTTGCTATCTACTGCAAGTGGAACAGGAAAGCCATGTTCTTCCAAAGCCTGCTCAGTCAAACTATCAGCTAAATGTCACAATCAGAAAAGCAGAAAGCAACAAGCAGAGAGAGAGAGAGAGAGAGAGCTGAAGAACCTTCATGAAGGCAAATTCCTTGAGAGCAGCAAGGCGCGACAAATAGAGCCAATTATAACTACTGCGATGCTTCAAATAATCACGCTTAGACTTGACAGCTCTAAAAGATACTCTACCAAGTCTGTGCAGCTTCATTGCAAGGACGGTGCCATCTTCCTTGGCCACCTCAAAAATATCTTCAATAAGGGGACAAAATGTTTCAACAGTCTTTGTCAATACATTGAGAATGAGAGCAGTTAAAACTCAAGATACGAAGGAAAAGTAGGGATTTTTAAGTAAACAACAAAGTTACCAGACTCTTTGCCGACACCAATTTGACGACCAATGGCAGTGAAAACTCCCCGATTAACCAAGGTTTTGATAGCGAGGAAATCATAACCGAGGTAAGTGAGTCGAAAGCCATCATCTAACACACATCATAGAAAAGATAATAACAAATCAGACTATTGTTGTTGTACAATTCAATCAAGATTTTTTTTTCCAGGAAGCACAAGGATTTACAAATTTATAACTCAGTGGGCATGAGAATGACAACAATCGTGGAGCTGAAGTAAGAAGTAGGGGGGGGGGGGGGAACATACATTTGGAGGAGTCATGGTGCAAGAGCTTGTGCTTGAGCAAATTCTTCAAGACCTTATAAGTACCTCCGTGCCTTTCAAAATGCAAAAGTAAGAAGGAATAGTTTCAGACAAAGCAGAAAGCTAAGGCGCAGAAAAGAGTTGAATAACACATAGCAGGTGAAATTTGTGAATATAGCCGTAAGTGTGAAGTGAGAAACGAGAATAGTTGTAGTATAGAAAAGGGAGCGAAAAGACGGGGACTTACTTGAGGGAGGCAATTCTGTCAATTAGCTCTGAGGGAACAATCTCGTGCTGAAAATATAACAGAAAGAAAGCAATTTAGAAAAGAAGAAGCAAAGATGAATAAGAAGCCGAAGAGAGAGAGAGAGAGAAAAAGAGACATTGCGCATTCCCATTTCGACGGCGGTGAGAACCCTGAAATCATCCTTGGATAGGTACCTCAACACGTCCACATCCAACTTCATCCCTAAACCCTTTTTTTTGTTTTCTTTTCTTTCTTATTACTTCTAGTAGTACAGCAGCCCGGCTACTTTTAATATGGAAATCAACAAAAAGAATCACAGGCGGAGGCGTGGGCGGTGGACGCCTGGACGGCCGGTGGTTGTGGTGGAGAGGGTACTTTTTAAGCGAGTTTAACCTGTCTCTGGATTCAGTTGAGTTGAGGATGATGATGGCGGCTTGCTTGCTAGTGCTGGACGGACTTTGAGAGAAGAATTATACACTTGACTTTTTAGGAGTTAGGAGAAGAAGACCAAACCCAAACCCACAGCTGCTTTATGTTAAACTGTTTGCTGCTGCTGCATCTATGATCTTCAGGAATCAGGAATCAGGAATCAGGAATACTCGTTGAGCATTACACTGAAAAAAAAACACGCACACACACACGCGGGTGGTGTTGAGCTCATAAACCTAAGAAGATGAAGAAGCACAACTGTTTTGTTTCGCTATTTTGACCTTGGGCCTGGCCTGTCTATTCTTATCCGGACATCCTCCACCCCAACTCTAAAATTTTTAGGCTTGGATGGATGGATCCATCATCTCAGTTAATGGGTAGTACTGACAGAACAAGTAGATATGTCGTGTCGAGTTCAAGTCAGATCAAATCGAGTAATCAAATTTGAGTGGAGTATAGAGAAATTCAGCGCATCGAAGTGGCTCGAACGCCTATGTGCGCATGTGTATATAATTATAGTGAAATTCCAATTACATTCCTAATATTTTTATTATTTATTATGGACAAATGACTATGTTATTTATTTTTAAAAAAAGGACACTTATTTTTACATTTTAAAGCTCAAATAAGCTCGACTTCTAACTCAACAAGGGTCAAATTTGAGGTCGAATTGAAACTCGAGTTTTACATTGAAACTCATCAAGTTCGACCTCGAATTCGAACTTGGTAAAATTCGACCTCAGTTCGACTAAACTAAAATTCGGCTCGTCTCAAACTCAGCTCGTTTGCTGCTGCAAAGTGGAAATTGGAATGATTTTTTGAATTATACGACCTTGCTTTGAGTTTACAAGTTAACCAAACGTCAATTGAAATCTGACCGCTGCATAAAATTAAATGAAATAAAGAGATTGAAATCATATATATGATCACTTGTGTGTGAAAAATACTACGCTCTTTTAATAACATTATTAAATGTCAAATTTGTTGCTAATTCTAATAGCTAGTTTGGGAGTTTAGGAAAGAAAAGAAAAGAACAGAAACCTTAAGTTAGAAAAGAAAAGAAAAGAAAAGAAAAGATTATAATATCTTTTCATGTTATTTGGGAGTTTTGGAGAAGAAAGGAGATGAAATAACTTTCCTTTGTTTGGAAGGGAGAGAATTGAAAAGACAAGATTCAATTTTACATAAAAACCCTTAAATCTTAAGATACCATGAGAATTTTATTAGGTTATATAGTTATATTTTAATCTTTTAAGGGTAAAAATGGCATATGGTATAATTCATTTAACTCACTCCACTTTCTCACGTTTTCCGCCGATTTTGGGCAGAAAGTTTTTCTGACGTGGAAGGGAGCTGACATCCTTCCGTTTCTTTTCAATTCTTTCCTATCCAAAGTCCCAAATGTGAGAAAGATTCAACTTTCCTTTGTAATCTTTTCTTTTCTCACCAAATCTGCCCTTCCAAACTAGCTATAAGGCTGAAATATATAGCAGTCTAGAACATAGCATCAAATTGCTCCATCTCAAGTTCAATCTCAAATTTGTTGCTAATTCTTAAGGCTTAAATAGAATTCTAGAACAGAAAATCAAATTGATTGAGATCCCAAGCTCAAATTCAAGTCTGAACTACAAATCACAGTGAAATCAAGGCTTGCTACACTAAAAGGTATGATCCAAATTGACTCTCTTACAACTCATCTGCATTGAGAAAAAGCAATTTATATATTTATAATAATTCGATTGAAGAAAAGTTTTAAACTTTTGATTGTAAATTTAACGACAAACAAAAAAAAAAAAAAATCAGTTTGGAATTCATTAATCCGCGTTTCCTCCACGTTTAGATGTCAGATTCCACAATTTTGTTCGTTTCCTTCCGATGTTGAACAGTAAAGGACGAAAGGTCCCTTTTCCTCCCCGGCCTGTCTTCAAAACAACATCCCTTTCTCTTGATTTTGCACCACATAACATATGTATAAATGATAGTAAGAAATAAAAGAACCGTGTTGTATTTCTGTGAATATATATTGAGTAGACAAAATTTATGAGATGGACTGACTAATTGGAATTGGGGGAGGGGAAAGTTGAGGATGGAAATGGAATGATGGGATGATGGGATGTTTGGGGTTTTTTTTTAATCCTGAAACACTACTGTGGATTTACAGATATGCGTAGGAGGCATCCCGAGCGTATGAAGGCATAAAAGCCAAGACCATGAGCAGTCCCATAATGCAGATTGGAAGCAGAAGCAGGAGAAATGGCGGAGGCGGCAGCGGTGGAAGGACGAGAGGCAGCAGCAGCAATGACGCCGTCAGGCAAACCAACAGAAACAGCCCCTGGAAGCTCAGATAACCGGAGCTGCCGGAGAACACCTTTTTCCCCTGCTGGGACAATGACCGCCTGTATTCTGTTCTCTTGTCTTCCGTCGTCGTTCCATTCATCATCTTTTTCACAGGGAAAGCATTAGCACCCCGGCCACCGGTATTGATATTGTTCCCAGCAGCAGACGTCGTTACATCCATGAAACTGCCGCCGGCCGAATACAGATGATGATGATGATGATGCCGAGGATGATGGTCTTGGAACAATCTCAAGTCTCTTGCTCCCTCCGAAGGCCGCCGCCCTCCTTGTGCAGCACTACCCATTTCCAACATACAATACAACCGACCAATTCAGTAGTATCAAGCAGCAGCAGCAGCAGAAGCAGCTTCGTCTTTAAAATCTCAATGCGGTACAGATTTCCTGATAATTGCCAATTAAGTTGATGATTGCTTATTCCTAATATCAGTTGTTGATTTGGCTGACTATTACTTTATTCTCCTTCTTGCAGTACCCTGAAACGAATCTCTTCTGATATTGAGAAGAGCCCAGGAAATGAGCAGCAGATGCAATAGAACAAGAGGAGGAAAATGATAAAATGGATCCTCAATATCTGTTATCTCTCTCTCTCTCTCTCTCCCTCCCCAACAAATGTCAAATTTGAAGAGGAGTTTGATAATAATAATAATGTATGGAATAAGCTATTTATTCGGGGATAGGGAATTGTTGGTATCGGAGAAAGAAAGAATGAGGAAGACTGTGATCATAAGGGATGGAGGAAGGAGGAGAGTTAACGCAAGTTATTTGAAGAAGGGAAGGGGTACGGTACATTATCAGGGAAGGGAAATCAGGGGGAAGATGGGGTGGTTTCTGGTTTGAAAGGTGGAATGAATCAAGTTGGAATGAGAAATCGTGAGATTGGATTTCAGAAACCTGCCCTCAATTTTCTGACGATTTCACTTGGAACCCATAAACTTTATAAGAAAAAATGACTTGTCTTCCTTATTTTCAAATTTTTGTAAAATTATATGATTAAAACGGTGTAAGATTAGGAAGGAGAAAATCATTTCATTCCAAAGTTGCCCTTTAGTTGTGGTCCTATAGATGTAATGACAAATCAATTTAAAATAGCTTGACAAATCTTATCGATGATTTGGAGACAACTTTTAAATTTAACAAATTATAAATAACTAAAAACTATTTGAAAATATCTTTTTTTTCGCCTTCTAAACATCTCAAATAAGTTTTAAATGTAATGTTAAACATTGATCTCTTTTTCTAATTTTCAAGCCATGGATCCGGATAAATAAGAATTAAAGATTCTAAACGACTTATAAAATTTATTAAATCAGCTCAAAACAATTTACATAAAAGAAAGGTTTTTGATTCTCATTTAGTAATCTAAAGGCACACAATAATAAGCACATGGATAAAATGAAAGTGAGCCCAATATTGAAGTTTTAAAATCATAGATAAAACCCTAAATTGCAACACTTTTGCTGAAGAAATCTACAATTTTTCCAAAAGAATAATAATAATAATAATAATAATGGGTTTATGTTTTGTTATGTGACTTTAGGGGACAAACCCTAAAGGGAAAAAATTCTGGCAAATAAACTTTTATTATTTGTTTGTACTTTAGAAAAATATGATGTTTCTTATTATTATTTGTTTGCACATTAGAAAAACATACCGCTTATGATTGTGACTGTTATATCCTGTCTCTTTAAAGAAAGATACATCTCCATGCTTTTTGTCCTAATTTTTAGCGTCTGTTTATCATACTTACACATTTTTTTTTTAAAAAAAAAAGAAAAGTAAGGCAACAAAAGGGTACTGTTGGAAAGAAATTATTTTCTCTTCCCTAAGATAAGTATTTATAATTTGAATCGGTTTGAGAATGTTACAAAAATTTGAAACTAGGGGAGGCAAGTAATACTTTTAAAACTTTATGGATGCCAAGTGAAACTATCATAAACTTGAGGGGAGGTTGAATTGTAGTACTAAATTATATGATTCGGTGCAGGATATTTGTGGCATAATCTATGTGGAAAGAGACCAAGAAAGATAGAGAGGGGTAGAAAAAAGAGGAGGATTGGGGGGAATGGGGTTGGGTTCAGTGAACAGCAACAAACAAGTGGGGGCTGCTCATGTCCAAAGACCAAGTTGATGTTTTCTCGGTTGGAAACTCGATGGGATGTACGCCCAAGGCCAAGGTTCTTCTCCCCTGGACATCAGCAATCAAACTTCCCATTTTTTTTTTCCCTATGCATTCATTCATCGCTGCTTTCTTTATTATTGTTGGTGCCGTTGCGCAATCTTTTCTTTCCCCATCTTGCTACGTTACTCGGCATCTCATCACTCGTTCCATCTCCCCCGCCCCCACTACACACAGTACTACGTCTTGGGAGAGAGATATGTATCTATGTATGTATAAATATATATAGAGAGAGAGAGAGAGATCCCGCTCCCAAGTTCCAACAAGACGGACCCTCCCTTAATTATCGATTCTTGGAATCAAATCTAGAGTTCTAGAGTATTAGTAGTAAATACTAGTACTACACTATAATATTCTGAGTAGTATAATCTTAGGAGCAAGTATAGTCCACAAAATGCTAAATACTACTGAATTGATGGTAATATCTAAAGGTGTCAAATGGTTTGTTTGGATTGTAAGTTATTTGAGATATTTTTACTGTAGCACTTTTTGTGATGTGATGTATATGAGATGAAAAGGTAATTGAGAAGGTAAAAAGGTGTATTGAAAATTGTAACGATGATGTAAGCAAATATATTTGGAAAAATAAAGGCCAATCCAAACAAACATGTGCGGGTTTGGGTTAGTTAAAATGAGTAATGGATATAAGTGAGTCAGTATATTTATATTCATTTAATTAGATGGGTATAAATAGATAAGTCGAAAAATGAGTTAGGTAACCCAATTACCCATTTGTAACCCATTTATTTTAAATTTTTATAAACTCATTTGAATTCATTTTCGCAAAATAAGTTATCAATTTATACCACCTTTTGCACCCATCATTAGTTTTAAATATTTACTTATAATGCTCAATAAGGCTAATTATCAATTTTTTTTCCATTCGTACTCTACGTCGCAAAATTACATACTATTTAATAATTAAACAATAAGAATATAAAAATTTGAACTAAATCCTATGAAAGTTAACATAAAAATTTAATCAAACAACTTTGAACCCCAAGCATTCTTTTTTCGTGTGCAAATTTAGAATTTCATTTTGGAAAGGTAGGAAAAGATGTTAAAACTTGTCATAAATTGGTAATACTGAAAAATGAGTAAGGTAGCAAACTACGAGAAAATAAAATGATAAGATAAAACCAGCAAATAATAATAATAATAATAATAATAATAATAATAATAATAATAATAATGCAAAAGTAGTTAACATTATGACAAAATGAAAAATCTAAAAAAAAAGTGAGAGAAGAGAGGATGCTTGAGGGAAGACAATTTTAAATGGGTTAATTAGATTTGATGGGTTACCTAATAATGCCTATTTAATAAATAAGTATTATTGGATAGCCCATTTATATCCATATGTAAAATTTTAAGATATCCATATCCATATATTCGGCTCTCTCTTTAGCCTTATGTCTTATCCTTAGGAGGCCAGCCTCCACTAGCAGGTTTTTTCACAGATACTCATAATTGTTGTTATAATTGAAATGGAGAGGAATTTTTAACTCAATATTGATGTATCAATTTGTATTTTCTTACTTATATCATTAGGAAAAGAAAATATCCAA